TTGTGATCATGTGCACTGCTCTTTGCACATAACAAATCTCATATGTCATAGTCTACAGTCCACCCTGTAGAAGGGTGGCTATGCTCCAACACACAGTGGGACCATGGAGAATGAATGTAGTCACTGTCTGACAGGATGTTGGATTACAGAAGCAGAAAAAAATGAATTTGGAGATTTGGAGGAGACCGAAAGCAATAGGAGGTACATTTTAGAATTAAGAATACATACTCAAATAGCTTCTAATTCTTTTAAGTGTCACTTTAAAGAGTAACTGAACACTAGAAGCTAGGCCCACAGTATTGCATGTGGTCTCCCTGCAGCTGGTCTTTTTCCTTTGAATGTTGTGGGTGAGGCCTATTGCACTGTGGACTAGGAGAACCTTTGCCCAAAGGCATGCTCAGCAATGCCTGGAACAAGGCGGGAACAGCGGTCATGTGAACAGTCTTATATTAATGTGGAGTTCCACTCACTCTGTATGAAAAAATAAAAGTCAGCAGCTACAGAAGCTGTAGCTGCTGACTTTTAAACAACACAGCCACTCACCTGTCCAACGATCCTGCGTTTCCCCCGCCGCAGCCTGTTTCACTGGCCGACCTGTATTCCAGGCGCGGCATCTTCAGTGTGGGCACACGGCTGTGACAGCTTTCGGCTTCACAGTCAGGTACCCACTGCACATGCGCGAGTAGCGCTGTGCTTCTTGAATTGCCCTGTGAGCTTTTGGGACCTGTCACGTGTCACACAAGACTTCGGGGAGGGAGGGGAGGAGGACAACTTCTGTTTCCAATTGCCTAGACGAATGCAGCGGATGTGGGAGCGGGTACCTGTCAAATTCGGGTACCCGTTCCCCCTGCTCCCCAAAAGTGCCAAACCTTAATGGGGAGCGGGGGACCAATATTTAAAGCGGAACTTCCCCTTTTGAGTGGAGCTTCGCTTTAAGGCAGTCTCTCAACTTAGAGACAAGCTCCCACTGCATGTAGTAATGAAGCAAAGTGAGTGAGAGTGTTTTCCCATAGCTTTACACACAGTGACTTGAATAAGCATTCGGAGTAGCAGACTGAGCCAGTGTACCTCTGCGATCTCGCTTCCATTAACAGAATGAGGTCCCGTCTGACACATAGCGTGGACCTCATGCATGTCTCATGTTAACTCTCTGTCTTCCGTGCCATAAAGTCAGGCAGAGACCTTCATGATGCTGATCTGCTCCAGGTTGCTATGTGGGATGGAATGCTAGGGAGGTAGCACAAGCAGAGACCTCCTTGCTATCAGAAGACACCACACCTTACCCCGGTACAACGCTTCGACTGGTTGTCTTATGCCTTGGATATGCACTCCGTTACCCAACGACCTTGCTCTTACTTAGCATACTGAGTTGTCACTGGTGAAGTTCTTCATATCCCTCTAGTGCTTTATAGGGCCAGGTTATTTTGGGTACGCCAGACCAATTATGCACCCCTTTGAATAACTTCAGACCAGGCTTAGGAACAGTTAACATAACTTTTACTGAATGGGTTTCAATGATACAATTCAATATGACTCCCTAACTGACTTGATTTGCAGCCCAGACATACCTTGGTGAGAGTCCGTAGTGGAAAAGTCCATTCTTGGTGATGCTCCAGTATCCTCAGTGGCAGAGACGTAGTAGAGGGCACAGCAGCCCCTCTCCTCTACTTCGAAAAACACAGAGTGTAATCTGAGAATTTATTGGAGAAAAGTGGCATATCCCCCTCTTCACAGGCTCAGAGAAACAGAGCTGAGGATACCAGTCATCTGCTGCGTGCTGTGGGGAGGAAAGGTTTGCCATCTCCTGGGAGGTTGTGGTGTCAGCTCAATCTATTAGGAGTGAATCATACAGATAGCAGAGAAAGCAGGCATCAGACCTGGTGCTTTGGATTCAGGTTAGTACACGCTATAGTGGGATGTGCTTTGTTCAGTCTTTGTTCATACAACTTTAAGGGTATTATCCATGTCTGCTCCCTTCAAATCCATAATATCCAGTATGAAAAACTAGTTACTGTATATATAGAAGTACTGCATAAAGTTTTATTCATGTGTTATAGTAAGGTATATATAACTAGAAAAAATACATTACTTTGTAACCTTACAATTAAAAATATAAGCGCCAGCCAAAGTAGGACAATACCAAAATTAAAATAAAGACACGGTAATGTTAAGAATGTTTTTTGACACTATTTAAGCTACTATTTTAGTCTTCAAAAACCTGAAGTTTAATAAAATTGAATGTCAATTAGACCTAAAGAGAAGATATTTAGAAACTCCCAAAACAATTCTTCAAATGAACAAATGCAGAACTTCTCAATCCAATCCAATTCCGAGGTAGTTGTCTTTATTGCCTCCCCCAAAACACCATAAATGCAAAGAAAAAAAATGTGCATCTACCAGGCTGTATCTTTTATTTGTAAAAACCCTTTGGTGTTAGAAAATATATCATTTTATGGGTCCTTAGTGAACACTCACGTCTGTATAATGTGTGGTTTTGAGGTGTGTTAAAAAAAAATTGGCTCGACTATCCAAAGTAAAAAATAACTGGGTCAAGCACTGACAGAACGAGGGGTAATAAAACACCCCATCAACCATTTTTTTAAACTCTATTCTCTCATATCTGAAGATCTAATAAATAGTCATGTGTTTATTTACAATTTTTTATTAAAATCTCTCCAATATAAACAAAGTGAGGCACTGTAAATTTCCTGGCCCTTCATAGTGATTTTTTATAGTTTACTATTACTTGAGCATTAAGCGTTGTCTAGTTATTTATTTGAACTTTTCTGGGCCTACGTTTGTTAAAATATTCTTCAGATTTCCTAGAAACTGCACCAGTAACAGAGGAAAGGTAAAAAAGATATCCCCAGAGAGAAAGCGCTGATCTATGCGGATGAGGTTACAGCTCATGAAGTTGAGCTATTTGGGCAATCTGCAGGAGATTCAGCGGAACACGTTGAAAGGACATATGGAGGAACATATTAGACAAAATCAATGTACTGGCTCGTTGCCCCATAGACATTTGTGGGTTGCTTTCCCAGTAGTGACAGCATTTGCATACTTGCCAACAGTCCTGATTTTCTGGGCATAAAGACTTAAATTAATCCTGTATAACAAAATATTTTCAGGGTGTGTAAATTGTCATAAAATTTAAACAACTGCAAAGCTGCATGCCATAGAAATGCCTTTTGTTTGTATTTATTCATGTCACAATGTTTGTAAAGCAACACAAAACAAGAAAAAATATAATTGTCACAATTAAATGACTCTCCCCCTTTGCAGTGCACACATAGATTTGCACCCTGAAGTGGACCTGTCAATAAAACGTACCTTGTTCTTACCATGAATGCTTGCTCTTTCAGGGCCTTCAGCCGAAGTTAAGATCACTTGGCATCTGGCACATTGTTGGGGGTTTTTATGTTATTTGAGACTATAGAAAATCTGTTGTTTTTAGTCAGACAGCCCTTGTCTGGTAGACATTGTAGAATTTTAGAATATAGAAATAACATTTAAAAAAAAATAAAGCACAATTGTATTTAAACATTATTGTCGGGATATCATATTTTTTTATTCTTTTATTTTGTACGTTTTTTTATGCATCTTTATAGTATATTAGAAAAAAATCCATCTTTTTTACCCTTTTGCAGCTGTAGTCCAGGTCATATTTCCTGCCCTTGTTGTCTGAACCAATCACAGAGCATAAACTTTAATAAAGTACACCAAAAAAAAATCATATTCTTTAATAGCGCACATCCTAATTATTTCAACTTTCCACACTTATTACGTATATATGATATATTATACAATTATACATACACACTATATTGCCAAAAGTATTGGGACACCCCTCCAAATCATTGATTCAGGTGTTCCAATCACCTCCATGGCCACAAGTGTATAAAATTAGGCACCTAGGCATGCAGACTGCTTCTACAAACATTTGTGAAGGAATGGGTCGCTCTCAGGAGCTCAGTGAATTCAAGCATGGTACCGTGATAGGTTGCCACCTGTGCAATAAGTCCATCCATGAAATTACCTTGCTTGCTACTAAATATTTCACAGTCAACTGTTAGTGCTATTATAACAAAGTGTAAGCAACTGGGAACATAGCAACTCAGCCATGAAGTGTTAGGCCACGTAAAATGACAGAGCAGGGTCAGTGCATTCTGAAGCGCACAGTGCACAGAGCACAGAGTCAATTGCTAAAGACCTCCAAATTTTGTGTGGCATTCAGATTAGCACAACAACAGTGTGTAGAGAGCTTCATGGAATGGGTTTCCATGGTAGAGCAGCTGCATCCAAGCCTTACATCACCAAGTGCAATGCAAAGCGTGAGATGCAGTGGTGTAAAGCATTCCGCTACTGGGGCTCTAGAGCAGTGGAGACGTGTTCTCTGGAGTGATGAATCACGCTTCTCTGTCTGGCAATCCATTGGACGTGTTTGGGTTTGACTGCATTGTGTCAACTGTAAAGTTTGGTGGAGGAGTATTATGGTGTGGCTGTTGTTTTTCAGGGGTTGGTTTTGGCCCCTTAGTTCCAGTGAAGGTGAAAGGGTTAATAGTTAACTAACTTTTGCTTTGTGCCTACTAACTGGTTTATTTTTCATACAAGATGTTCCCTTGGGATTGAAATGCTGTTATCTATGCACACACTTCTTTTCTGAGAAATTGCAGAACTTACTACTCTGTTGCATTTTTGTTATGACTAGCCATAGAGTAGTTTACTGAAATCTCTTTACTGTATTCTGATCAATAATAAAGAAGTTGAATTCTGCCTCACACATCTAGGTATTTGTGTCGCATTGTTCCCAAAGTACCGTATTTTTCGCTCCACAAGACGCACTTTTTTCCCCAAAAAATGGGGGAAAATGTCTGTGCATCTTATGGAGCGAATATGGAGCGGCGGCCGGCGCGGTATTCCCACCCCCCCCAGCCATGTTAGAATACCAGGTTGGCCGCTCGGCTCTTCTGTGCAGCAGAACCTGCAACGCGCGCGATCCTACCTGTTCCTTGGTCCAGCTGTGTCCTCACCATCTTCTCTCCCCCTGGCGCCGGCATCTGTAGTGTGGGCACCCGGCTGTGATAGCTTGCAGCTTCACAGCCGAGTGCCCACTGCGCATGCGCAAGAAGCGCTTCGCTTTGTGAATGGTCTGGCAATCTTCTGGGACCTGTCACATGTCCCAGAAGATGGGGAGGGAGCATAACTCCGTGGAAGTGGGAGCGGGTACCTGACAAATTTGGGTACCCGTTCCTTCCCTTTTGCTCCCCAAAGGTTCTGCAGTCTCTGGTCATCTCCTGTACTATGTCAACAGTCTCTGGTCATCTCTTGTACTATGTCCGCAATCTCTGGTCATCATCTCCTGTACTATGTCTGCAGCCTCTGGTCATCTCCTGTACTATGTCTGCAATCTCTGGTCATCATCTCCTGTACTATGTCCGCAGTCTCTGGTCATCTCCTGTAGTATGTCCGCAGTCTCTAGTCATCTCCTGTAGTATGTCTGCAGTCTCTGGTCATCTCCTGTACTGTGTCCGCAGTCTCTGGTCATCTCCTATACTATGTCGCAGTCTCTAGTCATCTCCTGTAGTATGTCCGCAGTCTCTGGTCATCTCCTATACTATGTCCGCAGTCTCTGGCCATCTTCTATACTATGTCAGCAGTCTCTGGTCATTTCCTGTAGCATGTCTGCAGTCTCTGGTCATCTCCTTTACTATGTCCGCAGTCTCTGGTCATCTCCTGTACTATGTCCTCAGTCTCTGGTCATTTCCTGTACTATGTCTGTAGTCCATTGGTTCAGAATATTTTTTTTCTTGTTTTCCTCCTCTAAAACCTAGGTGCGTCTTATGGAAAAAATACAGTACTTTGAACTGTTTATGTTTTATGTTTATTGTATTGGAGAAAAGGGCCCTAAATTGATATTAGGAGCAAATTAAATTGTCATCATGTAATGACTGAATTTTGAACAATAAATTGTTCAATGGACATAAATGATTCAGTTTTTCATCAGTTTTTTGCTTCTGGGTCACATATGCACAGTATCAACTGTTTGATTTTTAATGAGCGAGAAACACTCAATGTATCGTTCATTCAGGAGAAGTTTTCTGAACTTTTCCTTTGATTTTTTTGGCTCAAAAACATCACTAATGATTTTCGATTTGTGGCCACCATTACTATATGCCACTTTTCTCCTTTGTTATTCTTGTAGATTCTAGATGACATTAACAGAGAAGATTTATTAACCTTAACACAACGCGTTTCGTGGGTCCCAAATACCCCACTTCTTCAGGTTCTCTGAAACTACATAGAAAACAATTAGTTCCCATTTAAAAAAATTATTATAGGCACACATTTTCAGCTATATTGATTATAATTTATAATTGAAAATATGGATTATGAATATGATCAATTTTTGGATGACAAATTAATGTTTTCTATGTAGTTTAACAGAGCCTGAAGAAGTGGGGTATTTTGGGCCCATGCTAGGGTAGATGTAAATCCCCCATATTAAAGTAATCTAAAATCCACAGGTTATTCAACTGTAAAAATAACAAAGGAGACAAGTGGTATATAGTAAGAATAGTAAGGATAGGAGCAAGTGTTATATTATGAAATACACTAAATACAGTAAATTTTTAATGACTTTTATAAGGATTGAATAAATCAATGGAATTCTAGCCGTGCTTTGTGTGCATCATATTGTTAGTTACTTTCAATGTCCCATATCTGGTAAAGTTTTTTAATGTTATTTTTCATGTGTCTTTTTTTTTTTTATAGAAAAAAAAATGTAAGACACAATACCATAATATATTTTAGCTATTAAGACTCTGCTAATATGCAGTGATATCATATTCTGGTAGAGAAGGTGTTTATTGAGCATATTGACCATCATGAAGCAAAGAAAAATAGTTAAATTGCTTCTTTTACCCTTTCATAATAGCTATAATCTTCTCTTATTGGTGATGTAAAATTAGCTCTAATGCCTCGGCAAGGTCAACAAAATGTGGACTTTAATGTTGCCTTTAATTCTGCCTCCAGCAAAATGTACAGAAAATTAATGTCACGACTAGAGATGGTGGTCAGAGATAAACATACATAATTTTGTCTTATAAATCTAGTTAAATCATTGGTCAATTGGATCAGCTTTTACATGTTTTTTGCGCAAAAAGAGGTTTATAAAGTATAATGTTGACAATCTTATGATAAAAGAAAAGTGTACTGATTCTCAGAAGTCAGAACTCACAAAGAATTGGGTCAGTTGTAGTTCGGGCAAACTGGTCTGTCCGTACTTCATGCCAGCTTGTTTTATCAGGGAACTAGTAAAATGGTCCAAAAGACCAACTGCTAACTACATTTCCTAATGCAGAGTGTCATCCTTACTATGCGATGCAGGAAGCTCCCCACCTCTTGAGTCACTTTTGGCAAGATCCCATGGGAATCTAATATATAACCTACTTATTAGGTCAGTGTGGTAACACAGGGGACACATTTTCTATTGATTGCTTACCTTGGTTTAAAAAACACTTTTTTTTCACCCACCTCAAGGCAAATTTTAAAGCGGTCCTAAACTGCTTAAAAAAAAAAAAATACCCCCTGCAAGGTAAAGGCATCATGAAGGACTTACCTTGAAATGAAGCCCTCCAGCAGAGCACTGTCATGGCTCCCCAGGGCGTCCATCTTCACCTGGTCTTCCTTCCAGGTTCACAAGCTCTGGCCAGCTGACTGGCCAAGCCACGATGACGTCACTTCTGCACATACACGCGGGTGTCCCGAGCCATGGCACAGTACCTGCTCCCGTTTCTTCAGAGTTCATGCGTCGGCTATCAGAAAGAGCTAATATCACCTAAACGGTACACATTAAGGAGATATTAATTTTACCTACCGTAAGCTTTATTATAAGTTTACCTGTAGGTAAAATTATTAAAGAAGAGTTTTATACCACTTTAAATGCTGAGACTTACATTAAATGAGGCCATACAAAGCCTTTTTTAAATTAGAAATAGAACTAATTTTAATAATAATATAAAATAATATTTTTAATATGACGTAACATCTCATATTACCAAGTGGAAATAGCAAGGAAATGAGCCTAAAAAGTGCTTGTTATGAGTACTGACAGTATTCTCCTCAAAAGAAAGGCAAGAAACAGTTATTTCTATGTTACATAGTTAGTCTGGCTGAAAAAAGACACAAGTCCATCCAGTTCAACTAAAAAAGGGGGAAAAAAATTATAATCCTATACCCATAGTAGATCCAGAGGAAGGCAAAATACCCCAGCAAAGCATGACCCAATTTGCTCCTGCAGGGGAAAAAAAACCTTCCTGATCCCCCGAGAGGCAATGCCTGAATTCCCTTGATCAACTTTACCTATAAATGTTAGTATCTAGTTATATTATGTGTATCTAGGAAATAATCCAGGCCTTTTTTTAAAGCACTACTGAGCTGGCCACAACCAACATTTGAGGGAGTCTATTCCACATTTTCACAGCTCTTACTGTGAAGAAACCTTTTCATATTTGGAGATTAAATCTCTTTTCCTTTAGATGTAAAGAGTGCCCACTTGTCCTCTGTGATGGTCTTAAGGTGAATATGGACCACTTATGTATTTATACATGTTGATCATATGCCCTCTAAGCCCTGGATCACACTGACGCGGTGCGGAATTCGCAGCGTTTTATGTATGAATTACGCACCGCATCAGAATCGAACACTGTTCATAGGAACCGCTGCGGGTGTGTATGTTAAGTTAACAACACCCCGAAAGCAGCCCGCAAAACGCATTGCGACGTGCAGAATCGGATCGCATTGGTGTGATGTGAATACCCATGCAATCTGATTCTAGTGCGGACCCAAAAAAGGATCCTGCACCTTTTTAGTGCGGGTGCAGTGCGATTGGAGCCATACAATCACTCAAATCGCACCGCACAGAAATTGCATGTGATTTGCACAGGAATGCGGTGCGGTTCCTGTGCGAATCACATACGATATACTGCACCGCATATATGTGAACCCAGGTTTAATCTCTTCTCAAGAGAGAATAAATCCAATTCCTGTAATCTCTCCTCATATTTGAGCTCCTCCATGCCTCTTATCAGTTTGGTTGCCCTTCTATGCACTTTCTCCAGTTCCCCAATGTTCTTTTTGTGAATTGGTGCCCAAAACTGAACTGCATATTCCAGATGAGGTATTATTAATGATTTGTACAGGGGTAAAATGATATATCTCTCTCTGGAGTCTATACCTCTTTTAATGCAAAAGAGGATTTTGCTCGCTTTAGAAACCGCAGCTTGGCATTGCATGTCATTATTAAGCTTGTGATCTATCAGAACTCCCAGATCCTTCTCCACCATTGATTCCCCCAGTTGTGCTCCCCCTAGTATGTATGACACACATGCATATTCCTAGCTCCCAAGTGCATAACTTTACATTTATCAACATTAAACCTCATTTGCCACTCAGTTGCCCAATTAAACAGTGCATTGAGGTTATCTTGTAAATTGGAGACATCCTGTAAGGATGTTATTACACTGCACAGTTTGGTGTCATCTGTAAACACTCAAATGGTACTTTTAATCCCAGACCCTATATCTTTTATAAATATATTAAAAAGTAAGGGTCCCAACATTATACCTTAGGGTACACCAATAACAACCCTAGACCATTCAGAGTATGAATCATTAACCACTTCTCTCTAAATGTGGTCTTTTAGCCAGTTTTCTATCCATTTACAAACTGCTTTTTCCAAGCCTGTAGTCTTTACCTTATACATTAGCCGTGTGTGGGGAACTGTGTCAAATGCTTTTGCAAAATCCAAGTATATGATACCTAGAGTCACCCCTCTGTCCAAGGTCTTGCTTACCTGTTCATAAAAAGAAATCAGATTTGTTTGACAACTTCTGTCTTTCATGAATCCATGCTGTCTGTTGCTTAAAATATTTTTTTTCATGAAAGAAATCATCTATGTGGTCTTTAATTAAACTCTCCAGTATCTTCCCAATTATAGAAGCTGAAGAAGGTATTTAATAACTTAGCCATCTCTTTGTCCCCAGTCACCCACTCTAGATTATTTCGTGAAGGGCCTACATGCTCAGACCGGACCCCTTTTTACTATTAATATATCTGAATAAATTTTTGGGGTTTGTCCTGCTATCTTTGCAATCTGTTGTTCGTTTTCAGTTTTTGCAGCCTCTATTTACTTTTTATATATTCTGTTATATTCTTTGTAATATTTAAATGATGATAGCTCTCCTTCATTTTTATGTTTTATAAAAGCTCTTTTCTTATTATTTATTGCTTTTTTAACTTTGGCTGTAAGCCACATAGGTTTTATTTTTAGCCTTTTAAATTTGTTGGCCATAGGAATATATTTTGCAGTGTGTCTGCCTATAGTCTTTTTGAAGAACTCCCAATTCTGTTCTGTGTTGATGCCAATATTCCCTCCCAATCAAAGTCTTGGAGAGCAGCCCTCATCCGTGGACAATTAGCTCTCTTAAAGTTGAGTGTTTTTATCTTTCCTGTGTGTGCTTGTTGTTTACAGCTAATATTAAATGAAATCATGTTATGGTCACTGCTACCCAAATGTTCTTTTATATGAACAATTACTAATAAGCTCTGCATGGTTTGAAATTACCAGGTTCAGCAGAGCATCATTCCTAGTTGGTGCTTCTATAAAGTGTACCATAAAACTGTCTTGTAATAGGTTTATGAATTTTTGCCCTTTAGCTGTTCCTGCAGTGCCATTACTGCAGTCAATTTCTGGATAGTTAAAATCCCCC